ATTCAAAAGAAAGTTCATTTATTGAGAACAAGTGTACAGTTCCAAAGCATTGCTAAGACTAAGCCTCTGTGCACCAAAAGCTGTTTTTTCTACTTTTTCCCTCCTCACCCCCCTTGCCTCCTTAGTCTCCTGATTCTCCTGTTGGTACGGCCTTGAGCATTCCAGCGCCTGTGATAAGAAGCCATCTGCCTCTAACTGTGCTTCATCCATTTTCCCGCCATTCCTCCCCCCCCCACCTTGTACAATGGCAGAACCGCAGCATGTAAAAAGCAACTACCAACTAGCCAACAGTAAAATCTACTATAAAATCTTGCGAGGATTCTGACAGTCTCTTCTCTGGCTGCTCGCTTGCCTTGCTGCCCAGCACAACCTTAGAGCTCTACCCAGCCCCACCAGCCCCTCTCAAGCTCTAACAAGCCACCTCCAAGCTCCACTGACCTCTGGGCTTATGGGACCAAGTCTGGTGCCAGAAAAGTTTTTCCTCTCCCTGGATCCTTGCCTCTCACCACCCGTTCCGCTGCGCAACACAGTTGCCATTTGCCATGCTGTGCCACCCAACACAACCACAAAGCTCCGCCTGGCCACACTGGTCCCCGCTGAGCTTTGCCAGGTATACGGCACCAGAGCACCCCCAAAGTCTTATATGAATGTATATGTGCTGTATGTGTATAATATACATACATACATACATACATACATACATACATACATACATATGCCAAAAATGCTCTCCCCAAAAGGGTAGGGTTTGGATAGAAAAAATAAATTAATATAATTGAGTTATTAGCTACTTATTAAATTACAGTACCACATTATAAAATGAATTGATCCTCCATTCTTTCTTACAGACACATACAAGCCACTCTTTGCATAGAAACATACAAGTAGACATGTACATGTTGCTGTCCCTCCTTCTAGCAAAAAGAAGAAAAAAGCAGCATAATGGGGAAAGAGGAAGGAGTAGCTGTTCTGAGAAGGAACAGAAAATAGAGAAAAAACTGGATGGAATGAGATATTCCCTTGTTTTCAGCAGTGTCTTCTATTCTCAAACAGCAAACATACAATGACACTTCTCCAATTCAGATAATTATTTGTAAAAAAAAAAAATCTTACTGTCAATAAATATGGCATGTCCTTCTCCAGACATCTCAATGACATTAAGAGAGAAGCTTGAAAGGTATACAGCAACTTCTTCATGATCAATCCTCTGATTGTCCATGTGTGAATGAATAAAACACAAATAAGCTTGTAAAACATGTGGAAACAGATGGTGACACATTTGGTGAGGGGGTGTACTTATTTATATGTACATGGGAAGCCCAATTGGACGACTGAAAGTGTTAGGCAGCCATGTTTGAGATGAGTGAAGACAGAAAAACCTGTATGATGTATGATGAAAAAGTAAGGGTGGGGGGATCATTGGGAAGAGCAACAATCCTTAAGTTGCATGTCAGTAATACAAACAGATACTGATCCCACACTCTGCCATTTGCTAACCCTGCTTAGGTTGCTAAGAAAAACCTGCTAAAAATCTCTATACAAAAAAGGAGCAATCATTCATATTTTTTCTAGTAGAAAAGGTTTGACCTAAGTCCTCTGGGTGTATTAAAAGCAAAAGGTAGTGTTTCTTATTCTTCATACAGACACATTGATAAGCAGTTTACATATCAAAGGGGTTCAAAGTAGGGTGATGGAAAAAGAAAAAAGTAACCCCTCCTTGTATTAAATTTAATTCCTTTGGAGGTCCCTTTAAGGTTGTACAAACATTAAAGGAGAAAAATGAGGCAGAGAGCCTCTCTTTTTGGGAATAGCCCCTAAAGTCAAATCACCTTGCAAGTTCAAACGAAGAAATAGTATCAACAATGTGTAACATGATGGAAAACTAATTATTAATTAACCTGCTGGAATTGCATATCTTGCCTATTTGAAAATAGAGCAATCTTTTTTCTTTTTCTTTTTCTTTTTCTTTTTCTTTTTCTTTTTCTTTTTCTCTTTCTCTTTCTTTTCTCTTTCTTTTTTTCCCCTCTTTCTTTTTCTTTTTCTTTTTTTTTTGGCTTTGCATATCACTTTTCCCAAATTTGCCTATACATGACAGGGCAAACTTGCATTCTGTTTTTATATGATAATTGGTTTTTGTGTGGCCAAGAAAAAAAGTAGGTGGCATACCATTTCATGATAAACTGCACAAATTCAGAGATGATAGTGACAAGCTGCAATTAGTAGTGGCTGTCAAAAAAACTTGCAGCCTGTTCTGAAATGAAGGGTACTTCCAGATCATCATTCTTTTCAGGCTCCAAAAATATACAGTTGTGTGAAAAAGAAAGTACACCCCCTTTAAGTTCTATGGTTTTATGTATCAGAACATAATAAAAAGCATCTGGTCCTTAGCAGTTCTCAAAAGTAGGTAAATACAACCTCAGAT